ACCGCCTTATAAGGGGCACTTCTCGAGAAACACGCTATGCAGCGCCGTCACCCAGGGCGCGCAATTCGTATCGTGCCAGGAGTATTGTACCTAGCTCGTTCTTGGCGCGGGATTATATCGTGCCAAATGCCGTGTTAAACGAACGTTTAGTAGCGAAGAGAGCCGAAAAACGAAAATACCGGGAAGGTTGAATTTCCAAGAGAGGGTTATTTCTACGTCTTTACTCCTGAGATCATCTATTTCGTCTTTCCAATAATCGAGTCCGATTTGTTAGCGATCGAATCGTCTGCAAATCTGAAAAATGAGAGCGCTTGGAACCATTTCGAGTGGTGAGAGTGCACGTTCTACGAAACATCCGTCAGGCGAGTGTTCAGAATGCCTAAATAATAAAAATCTGGTTGCTCGAGGTCAGCTTCTGACAACTTCTGGCTTTGGCAGTCACAATCAACGCGGACCTGACAACATCGCCCTGCGCAGAGAGGATGTACAAGACCGGACAATCGTCGAATCGGAACTCAGACCCCGCATCAACGTGCCAATGTTAAGAAGAACCGATGAAGAAGTAACATTTCAGTGAAGAGAAACCAGGCAACATCGTCCGAAATTCCCTTGATATTGTCACCTTCAGTTGAATTTCAGCAACGGAGTGAGAAGCGAACATAGATCGCGACGTAAGCAAAGAATTGCTACGCTCGTTCATCTCTGGGTAGAACCACCATTTGGTGGGCTCGGCACCCTTCTCAGTCACTTTTGAGCTTATAAGGCCTGTTCGACCGCAGACTGGACTTATATTCTACGGGAAAGAGATTCTATCTAGGAGGTTATATCAAAATGCGTCTCTGAGGACACCAGGCTCTACCTGGACTGCAAATTGCTAAGATCCAAAGCAACTCCAAAACTGTTGGAGAGCAGCTAAGAAGAAGAAGTGCTTCATATTTTTTTTCTGCATGATTTGTCTAGTTCACAATTAGCGATTATTATCATGATTATGAGTATCTACTGGTCGACTTAAAGGCAGCTGGCACGATAAATCCTTAAAATCGAGCAGGATAATACGCCTGGCAGGACGGAATTCCGCGACCCTGAGCAGGCGCTGCGTAGCGCCTTTTCCAAGGAAGGTACCCTTATAAGGGCCCTATCAAGCTACAACATACCGACCCGAACGCCCACCACGCCCGCCCGCCCACAAATGGACGACCGTTCCTGACGCTCGTATTGATTCATTTGCTAAGCAAATTATGAAGCGAAGGGATTGGTATGAAGCGGCCGTGGTGCTGCATGGATATATGAGTATGAGTACACACATGCAGCCGTATCTTCGGTAGCGGTCATTGGCAAAATGCCTATGGGAAACTCGTCCGAAATTGATTTTCAATTCATTGGGAACCAATGCTTATTTCGCAAGGATTTTGATCATTTTTACTCCGTTCTTTCGCCGTTTTCCAATTATATAGCGCCCTGCTAGCATTTTAGGCCCAGTACCAAATTATCGTGCCAACTGCCTTTGACAGTTACTGACGTAGAAAGAACAGTGATAAGGGTTGAATAGCAGAGAAGCCTCTATAGTGATCAGCTGGAGCTACCTGTATGAAAGCACACAATTTCATGAAATTGAATAGAAAAAGGGAATTGGGACAGAACCTTAATCACACTAGTGACGACGGGAGTTTGATGTAGTCAGAAATTCGACAAAAAGCAATCATTACCTATATTGATATGTAAGAATGCTTTCATAATTTGCGTCAGCATTTCGAGGGTGTGCTGGCGTACGTTGGCGACACTCGAAACACTAGGCCAATACGTATAATTTCCTAGTCGCTAGAAACGCTTGAAACTCTGGCGCACGCTCAAAACGCTCAGAAATCTGCTATGCGCTCTAAAAAGCGCTGACGAAAAGTATGAGCACTCTCTAAAGACTTAAGAGCATTGAGACACATACAGTCTGCCCCAGCCACGAATCTGTACAGACACTATTTGAGATCCCTGTGGCGTCATAAATAGTCGTGAACTCGACCCAGTGACCTCCATCGACGTTTTTCCACCGTTTGAGCCATATCCTGAAGCAGCTTCTCCACAGTAGAGCGTGATACTCGTAGCCGCATATCATACTGCCACTCGACGTTTCCCGATGAACACTCTGAATCGTTTTCATCATGGAGATGTTCATCAAGAATTTTTGGCGCACTGGCTCTTCCATAGAAGAGCAATTGCAAGAGTGATCTATGGCCCGAAAGACCCCCTCAATGTGCGCGATTTCTGTAGTACTATATGTGGTAAAGAGATTCTGTAAAAGGATAAAGGATAAAGTCTTCGCCGTTGATCAATCCCTTTGTGGGATGCGGCACGCATTCTACTTCCATTCAGAATCGTAGTGGCTTATTGAATGCGATGTGGCCTATACAATGACTTGCGGTGGCCAGCCGATGTACAAGTCAGTGTTTTATCCTCCCAGACGAATCTGGTACCAATTTACCGTCCCCGGAGGGTAGAAGGCTTGGTTGGCCTGGGCGGGTGTCGACCCGGGATTTGAACCCGGCGCCGCGCGAGTGGTAAGCGCGCCACTTGTCGCTACACACCTCCGCCTCCTGTAATATGTAACATGGTAATGCAAATGCATGTCTCCAAACAGTCAAGCAGAGTTTAAAGTAGCATGTTACTTGTTCCAGACTTAATATCCCATCAGCCAAGTTCCAATCAACGGAATTTGATCCTTCGAGTGAATACAATAAATGCCAAAGACAGGTGCTCTAGCGCTGTAAAGGCATTGAGATGTTAGCAATCCCTGAAAAAAAAAACTATTCCTGAAAGCAGAGGCCGTTTTGTCTCGCTTGTTTGATGTGGAATTCCCTTACGATTATTAGCATGAGTTCGAAGGGACATAAAATCTTTTAGGTCTTTGCGGGTACTGATTCGATGGGACTTATGCCGTAACTTCACCAACGTCGAATAGTATTAGGTTGTACGGAAAGTTATGAGAAAATTTCACACTTTTATGTTTTAAAGAATGTAAAAGGGCAAGCGGAATGGTTCAAATACCAAGTGCTATGAAAAGAGAAATGTTTGTAGATCAAACAAATGCTGGTTGGTATTATTCTCCATTGTAGGTATGGTTTGACATTACCTGAAAGATGTACGAGCGCGCGACCGAGACTCGAGCAACGGCCCTTTTACTTTCATCTCCATCTCCTCTGGCTCCCTCTAATCGCAAATCGGAAATGAGGAACTGTCTCCGATAACTGGATGAAATGCGCTTCAAAATAATCTATACTAGGAGGTCAATCGGTCTCTGATGGAAGTTTCGCTCAGATGTTGCCTACGCCCCCTCATTCTCAGTACTCGCTTAGTTCTAACTCCCACGCAAGGTAATCCCGCCCAAAAGGTAAGGGCATACGATGGACAACATTTACTGAACTAAACCATCCTCTTATTGTTTTTTGACAAAGTGTTGATGACTTGTTGAGGATTTCTTAACTTTCCGGGACGACACTAATACTTAATGTGAAAGCGCACTGCACGTTGCAAGGTTTGAGATCCTTTAGTTCAATGTGGTACCATGTGAATCGAGGACGAAACCAGGATCTAAATAACTTCATTTAAGACTGCTCCAGATCACACCTAACTCGTGGTCTTAAATTAACTCATCGGCTAAGTAAATTTGGCAAGATTTTCGTTTAGTTCTGTTCCAAACCTGACCTTGTGCATCAAATTTGCCAAATTTGAGTGGATTAATTCGAACGAACACTCTCTTGTCGCTCTACAAACTGTTATCTCCTTTAAAACACATCATGGGCTATGTATGGTAAAAGAAGGCTTGCGTAGATGTAAGCCGCAATTGGCATACGCGCGGAAAGCGTGAGGTACAGGTTCGAAATCACGCCTGGGTCAAGAATTGCCTATAACTCAGCATTCTTGTCATATGGTTGAGGATTTTTTTGACTGAGTTATCCAGGAGGCAAAAATCAGCTTTTTTCGACATTTGTTTGTTTGATCGAGGGTCGGAATTTTACATCAAGTAGATGCGTGGCAATGGTTTTGTGAGCACCCAGTCTCGACTCAAAGACAGCTTCCGCGACAAAAGTGTCATGGATAGTTGCTTTTCCAAATTATAAACAGTAGCTGTTGAAGTAATTCCGCGCAAAGAAGTGATTCCCCGTAAATTTCCGCAAAGTACACCCGTAAACAAAATTGGCCCTGGCAGTCACAGCCTTCCTGCGGTCTCTGTGGAAATCCCAATGCTCAATAAATTCATTTATCACATCTCCCAGTAGTGGGTATCATCCAATGCAATGAAAAGAATACGAAAAACAACAAAAACACGGAAGAAAAATTCTTGGAAAGGAAAAGAAAATTTTTAAAAAATTAGGCGTCTGAGTTTAGGGTTACGGTAGCGTGCATAAAGGAGAGCAGAATTATTTATGGGCACGAGCGCGGTCAGCAAAAAGGCATGCAATTCCGATTAATGCCCGCCGCCCCAACAAAGAACAACTGAGCGGCCCTCCGTCAGAGGGCATCTAGCAAGTGGGCGGTCCAACTGGGCGGGCGTTAGAACTAGAACTTTCAGCGGCTGTAGCTCGCTCCTCGCTCGCTGTGGAGTCGCGAGAGTGGGATAGTCTCTAGCTTGGGGGCTGTACTACTTGCACAAGGAAGGACGACCATGTACTACTCGAGCGCGGGGGCTGTCTTAATAAGTCGCCCATAGGAAATGAGGTACATTCAAATGGAGTTCTCGCTGAACAGAAGCGCTTGTTTCAGTTAGGTACTGAGGGTATGGGATGTATCCCTCGAGCGAAGTTCAAATCTAGACGGCGGCTGTTGGACTTGCAGATACTCGCCGAAAAGCATAGCCTGCAGATGGCTCCGCAAATGGAACCATGGTTGCCTCACACACATAAATGTGTCATTATATACCACTCGTAGTCCAGTTTTTGGAAGCTCCTACCTTATCCCAGTATGTAACGCATCCTACAGGGCTTTTGGTATGTTCGAGATGAACGAAAACATTATTCCTCACATTCCTCACACGAGCTCCTTCTTAACAAGAAACAAGAAAATGAATAGCGTAGAACTTTTTTAGCTGATATGTATGTAACGGGATACCTTAGATACGAGAATAATCCATCTGGTACCGCGGACCGATCGCTTTCCTTCATTCCATGGAGCATGAAATCTCTTTCAGAGCTCCACAAACTGCCCGTTATCCATATGTCACGAACCCATCCAGTGCCCTGAATTATGGCAGCAGTAAGATAAAATTCAGTATTGTCAAGTCTTTCGAAGTTATTGCTCTCTTTCATCAAGTTTCACTCATTTCTTCATGACCGTCTCTTTAGAATGCGTCATGCTCAGAAGAGATGTACGGAAGAGCACACATGGTTTTATTTAGCTCTCCAAAAAAATGCAGGTTCCCAACTCTTAGCTCGGCTTTTAAGGACAAAAGCGTGCATAAGTTTCGAAGTGTTACTCACAAGTGGACATGGAAAGTTTACACTTCACATATTGAGGAGGCCCCTAGAACTCTCTTCGCACGGAATGATGCGGTAAATTTTCAATGTGTACAATCACTACGACACTGACCTCAGCATCTCTACCCTCGGAATCCGTGCGTGCCTGAGATCTTATGGTAAGGGGCGCTGTCAGGATTGAGCCGTGAAAAATAAATCGTGGAACGTAATGGCCTTGCCCGAAAAGCTGGATGGTTGTTCCCTTCCATTACTATCGGACTCCCTAGCAGCCTGTACACAAGTGACTCAACCGTGGAAATTACACACTGCATCAAGCTGCGGTAATTACTGTAGGCAGTCTTGTGCATGACGCCGATGACGGACGGCTTTACCTCATCGTGACCGTGAAGTGGGGTGGAGCCCGTGCTCATAGAGAAACATCTCAGGAGCCTTACACCGTTGATATTGAAGGGTCACTTATTTATCGCTATGTCACCCTGCACATGAATCAAACCGCGTGCATAAATAAGAAATTCAAAAGTTATGAAGAGAGACTTCAATTTAGGAATAAAGAGGCTGCTCCGAGTAACAATGATTGCAAGTAAAGGTGAATGAATGTCCAAGTGCACCTTTCGCACGATTCGCACGTTCTCGAAGGTTCTTTGTGACCCGATTATGGACCGAATGCAGGCTTCAAATAGGAACAAGTCCTCGAATCCACTGGATTGATGCCAAATGGAATAGCAGACATGGGCATCGCGTCGAGTATCCGGTACTAATGTTTCAAGAAGATACGCCTGAAAAGTAACTCTAATGGTTCGCCACAGGTGTTGAAACATTGAAGGAAATATTCTTTTGTTTTCTGCGAACGATGGGGTATGTCAGAAAGGGATGGCTATGGCGCGACGTCAGCCTATTTTTTTCATTCGGCAAACGACAAGACTGTATCATGTCGATGCTATCAGCCGTTTTCCACCAGGTGTCGTCCCTTACCCGCTTCAACAATTGGTGGAGAATGGGCTGGCAACGCGCCAAACCCAACCTGCCTGACACGCCCCCTTCACAGCTAATTAGTATGTATAGATCAACAGAGAAAGGTTTGGGTCATAACCGTCCTTTCGAATAGAATTCTTTCAAATAGTTCACAAAAAGTATTGGCTCACGCACGTGAATTGCACCGTTATCGCTTCCGTGGAAGGAATTTGGTAGATGTGTTTCCATATTCGCAAAGTTCATGAGGAATGTTCGAGAGAACTGGGTATTTTTCACAATGTACGATCCCATTGCCACTTCCCAACTGCAGAATCGATCGTAGAAAGTGATATCGTAACGAGTATCGATGTATTCTTCAATCAGCCTAAAAGTAAACCTGCAGTAAATGTTCAGCGCTTATGATTATTAGGTCATCCCATTCAGAAGAGCCGACGGTTTCATTCGAATAAAACAATAGATAAAAAAGTAATATTTAGCTTCAGATTAAGTAAATCCCTCCTTCACCAATGACCCGCTCCCAGTGCCCCGAAAGCCTTTGGACCTCTGGTACCTTCGATTTTTCAACAAGTGCGAGTAAATTGCTGTTGATGCCAATTTCGGCGAATGACAAAACATTGTAGCGTTTGCCGTCGGAGAGTACCCTCGACTGACCAGAACAGTTGGAATCCAGCGGTTTATGTTGGGCGAATGGGACGATTGAACCAGTGTGTGTTTGTGTCCCAGTACTGCCCGTATTATCAGTTGCTCGGGATCTGGTTATGGCAAGCAACGGTGACCCTTCTTGGCAGTTGTGTGTAAGATCATCCATATTGTCGATCCATGACTGCGAGGCAACAGGCATTATAAACAAGACCGCGACCATTTCTTCTTCTGTATAAGCGCCGCCTGAAGGTCACAGTGTGGGAATTTCTTCGCTACATGATGTATTATCCATTGCGCGCCAAGTAACCCTCATGGCTGAAGCTCGGTGGCTTCTCATCTGCATTGCCATACAAAGTAATGCTTGTCAGATTTTGGCTCGGTGGTGAGACCACCGCTCATTGCATTCGCGCTTTTTCAAAAATTAGGAACGCCAGTGCGCGAGACGCTTCTTGACGCATCCTTGGTTTATATGGTCCCATTGATCTCGGGCAGCAGTTGCAGCGGGGATGTCAGTCTTCTGGCAGGGAAGCTCAACAAAGGTCCAGGCTCTGCAATCAGACCTTCATCGTTTGACTTCATCCACCCTTTTTTCTTGTGCAGGATGAACATTGTGGGACCACCCACGACAACCAAACTTTCCACCTTGTATTTCGAAGACACTAAATACACACACGCTACTGTTGGTGCGCTCAGATTTGAGGCAGCATTTCGCTCAATGACGCCTTTAATTTGAAAAACCGGTGTGATTTTTACCACTCACCCTTATTTCAATTTCTCGAGAATTTCGTTTGCGGGGAGCGTCGCGAAATTTCACAGATACATATACTCGAAATCCCTGAGATCGGGTAGGCGTGGCCGCATGTTTCAACTTAACCTGAAGGTGTCTATGCTTCTGGTGAGATATTTTCATCTTGACACAATTGTTGTCGTGTCTCTGTCCAACATAGAACAAGATGACAGTTGTCCCAGACTGGAATATTCCACGAGTAACCAGTTCCATGCCATGTTCGAATGCCACGCCTACTCTGGCTCAGGGATAGATACATAGCTGAAGGTACTAGCCTCCAAATGGTATAGTAGCCCGCTGCTCTATCCCCTTTGCTTTTCTGCCATTCCTCTATATGTAGCGGCACTTTTGAATGGGATGCCCTGTAATAGTTCTCTTTTGACCGAATAATTAAATCTACGGATTTTTGCAGAAACTTCTGCAAATTAACATCCCCATCATGCTGTTAATCAGGCCTGAAAATGCTCGCTCGTATGTAAAACCTGAATACATCGTGCGTTGGTGTAATAGGGGTGAACTTAAATTGTACTCGTAGCGATTTACAAAGGAAACCGAATGCGTGGCGCGCTGTAGCGTCGCATTCACAAAAGACCGTGCAATTAGCCCGCCCCTGGCTGCGTTTTCTACCAGTGGTTTTTGGTCAGAATTCTACCGGTAGTAAAGAGGGGAACAACCAGTTGCAGGAAACGCCGCGGGTGGGCTCATTGCTCGCCTTCTGAAACTGCCCCGACTGAATGCGTAACTGTATCTTCCACTGTTATTGACAGTTTATGATGCTGACCTTTCAGAATGCAGGTGGCGCAAGGCAACCTAGGATGTCAGAACAACTTTGACTTGAGCATGGATCTACAAGATTTTTTCGCTTAGGTAAAGAGTTAATAAATAGGATACCACCACCACCAGCGATCTACTTACAACTTGGACTCAATTCTTTGAACGCGTCGAATTTGTGTTTTTCTCTGCTCTCTCTCTCGTCCGCGTGGCACTCTATGGTCATTATGACTTCGCACATTCCAGCTTTCCACGTATGATAAGTGGCTCACCCACTCCGAAGTCTCCTCCCCTTAAGAAAAGCTCGATTCCTGGCTCGCCATAGTTCTTGCACGTCTCGATGCTTTGGCAGGCGCTGTCCTCTATTTGTCTGCGTTTCTTGATTTCGCAACAGGACCATGCACAAAAGTTCAAGATGTCACGTAACCGTCAGCAGGTCCCCAAACGATGACTGCGGTTGCCTGTGAAGAGAGAGTGTAGATCATCTCGAGCCATTTTCCTCACCGTTCGTCGCTTTTTCATCCAGATCCCAGTGAGCGGCTGGCACCAAGAGCGCTCGCCATATGCTTCCAAGCCCGCAAAGAACATGGTAGCACCACAAGGGAAGTCTACTTCAAGTGCAGATTGACATCTATACTCCACTTGCCTACAGAAGTGCTGTTCCCCTTTGGCGAGAGAGAGAGAGAGACGAGATTGAGAGAGAGAGAGAGACAGAGAGAAGATAGGTGAGGGTTTCTAAGTCCTTATCCCCCGCTTGTCTAGCTTCAATTCGAAGCAAAGCCCCGAGAAAAGTGTGGTATAAAGCAGGTCCAGCAAATCAAGGGAAAAAGTCTGAAAGGGATGAATGTTAACGACAGGTGTACTGCTTAATGTTGATATTACTTGTCATATTCTTTAGATATCAAAGAGAAGATGCTGAGTCTAAAGAATTCATCAAAATTTCGTCGCCGTGGAAAAATAGCTCCAAAGAAAATTTTACCGATTCGTCGGTTCACAACACCAATATCAGCATCAATGAATAGAACCCAATCAGTGGTTTTCAATATTTCAGCGACAACGCAGTGCCGTCGGAACATTGTCTGTAATTCATACAGCGTATTAATAAATGCAAATACCAAATCCCTGAGTGAAGTAGGCGTGGCTACATAGACTATCGTTGAAAGTGGGGTCCTGCTGCTTTAATGGTGAGATTTCTTTTTTGATTTTGCGACATGTAAAACCGTAGTAGGCTTGTCCGAAATATTCTACCAAGCGTTTTGTTGCCCGGTATTTTTGTAATCAATTCACTGCTGATTAAAAACTCATTCTGCCTTGCTTCTCAGTAGCACATCCTGTAGAGAATTTCTTGCGCTATCTGATGGTATAATTGCCGTTTCACCATTGCTTGATAAACCCCCTTTTTTCAAGATTTTTTCAAGCATGTGAAAAGAGCAGAGCACTTCGGACGACTTTTTTCTTCGACTATAAATTGGGGCAATCCGCAATCGAAACAGCTCAACAAATTAACCAGGTGTGGGGGCCCAATAGTGCTAGAGAAAGCACTGTGCGGCAATGGCTCAACAATTTCGTTCTGGAGATTTCAGCCTTGAAGATGAACCTCATAGCGGTCGACCTAAGCAATATCTGACGAGGATTTTAGGGGGATTTTAGAGGCTGACCCATCCCAAGCAGTTCGAGAGATAGCAGAAGAGCTAGACCTTGGCAAATCCACTGTTGCAGATGGTCTGGAACGCATTGGGAAGGTGAAAAAACTCGACAATTGGGTGCCCCAATCGGAGTGACCGGCAGGAATCGGCACGTCTCGAGGTTCCTTCTGCATTGCTTTTGCGCAGCAGAAACGACCTGTTTTTGGGCCGAATTGTCACCTGTGATGAAAAATGGGTCATGTATGATAACAGGAGACGTTCCGGACAGTGGTTGGATTTCGACGAACCCGCCGAGGTAATTTTTCAAAGCCGAACCCTCACGAAAAAAAGATTCTGGTCACGGCTTGGTGGTCATCGGCTGGTGTGATCCACTATAACTTTTTATCACCAGGCCAAACCATCACAGCAGAACCCTACTGTGAAGAAATCGACGAATTGTACCGAAAATTTTGTCAGATGCAGCCAACACTTATCAAAAGAAAGGGTCCGATTCTTATGACAACGCCCGCCCACACGTTTCACAAATCACTATCCAAATTGAACCGAATTGGGGTTGTGGAAAGTCTACTACTCAAAGCCGACCTTATTCTTGCCAGGCCTCGCAACGTTTACTCTCGACCTACATTTTACAGACATCGCTGCCGCGCTGGAAACAGTACATTCATCATATCCAGGACCGAGCGCAAAAAAGCCCTTCGTGATTTCGCTGAACTCCGACCCATCAGTTTTTTACATCATTGATGGTAGTTTCTCGAAACCCTGCCGTCACATTTGACAAAAGTTTGTGATGATTTCGAATTCCATGCGTGCCGCTAGTGTCGATTTAATACGATGAGTCGATTAAAAGTACAATCGTTTAAAGCTGAAACACCCAAAACACTGAAGAACCTTTCCGCGAGCACCATTCAAAAAACCCATCACCAAACAACATATTTTTTTCATTTTGCGACATGTAAACGTAGAAAAAACCGTCACCAAACAACATCGTAATAGTGATTTTTTTCAACCCAAACCAATATGATAGAGGCCTCAATGTGAAATTTCCCCCAAATAGCAGATCTTACGCTATTTTCGGCAGAAGCACGCGGCCACTCCCACCCTACCCTGGTGATAAGGAGTGTACATGAGACGGAGAGGGCGTGGCTGCGCTTCTAGAGAGCAAGCTGAAGTTTAGTGATCACTTGAAGCTGTGTGGGTTGAATGGCGATCGCGACCGCGAATGTCGCATAAATGTGCTCCAATTAGCGCCACTGAGAGCGCCTTTGCCAAAGTTAAGTCTGAAAGAAGGCTAGAGGAGGAGTCGCCGCGTGTTTGTCCAGCACAAGGCAGGATGGCAGTTGCCTTAAATCAAACTTTCACACGAGGAACGCATTCTACGCCTTGTTCGAAGCCACACC